CTTCAAACAAGTGCACGTCTGCAGGCTACCCCATGCCCCCTGCCTGTCCCTGCCCCACATCCCAGAGGGGCCCTGGGCAGCACCTCGAGTGTGTACCACGGCGGGCCGCCGGGGCAGGCAGGGCAGTACGTCGCCCACCCACGGGCTCACAGCCATCAGCAGCCGGCGCTCCAGGGGCCTCCTGTGCAGGGCGTGGCCCCGTGGCCACTGCCGCACTCGGGGCCTGGCCAAGACGCTGCCTCCGGGGCCAGTCCCCTGGGCAGAGCCAGGGCATGGCTGCCTCCGCTCCTCCTCCTGTGGGGGAGAAAGGCACCTGGGCCCTGCCCTCTCCACCCTGCCCGCCTGTGTAGGGGGACGTGGGGCGACTCTCAGGCCAGGAGGGAGGCAGGGCAGGGATGGTCGTGAGGTGAGTGCAGGCAGGCGTGGCAGGGATGCAGTGGGGGGTGGCCGCAGGCAGGCCCTTACTAGCGGCTGGCACCCGGTGTCCGTGTCCGTGTCCGTCCTGAGCACCTGCAGCGCGGTCTCCGGGGGCCCCTTCGGCAGACGCACTCCACTCTAAGAAGACGGCGGGAAGCTGCACGGAGCCTGCCACCGGGCAGAACGCACACCTCCTCGCCCAGACCCCAAGGTGCAAACGTCTGCACCCGAGCTGAGAAAGGCACTGTGCAGCGTGGTGGCCTCGGGCAGGGCCTCCCCCAGGACTACTGGAGGGCCCCGCTGGGAGACGGCCGCACTGGGGACTCAGGGCCCCGTGTCACAGACGCAGGAAGAGACCGGCCCGTGTGGCACAGGAGCCGTGGGCATGCACCCCGCCCTCCACCGGGGGGTCCGCTGTCCCCTGGGTGTCACAGTGGGACTTCCGTCCTCCACCAGCCAGGCCAGCCTGCTCGGCCCAGGCTGCCACTCGGAGGCTGCAGGGCTGACCCCGCGCCCAGAGCCCCAAGGCGCCAGGACCGGCCAGGACAGACCCACGGGACTGCCACGTCGGCCCTGCAGGCTGGGAGGAGGTGGCCTCTCGGTGCCCCACCTGCCCCCCCCAACTTGGGGTCCAATGCCCTTGGCAGCTCTCCCACGTAGCTTTTAAAGCAAACGAGTGGGGTAAACAAGGCTGCCAGCCTCAGTGACCTCCTGCCCTGGGCCCGGCTCTGTGCAATGGGCCAGAGCGAACACTCTAAGAGCAAGGGGCATGTCTGGCCCCCGCACCCGGGACGTGGCTGGCACAACATCAGGCCGGCCCACTGCCCGAGTGCCAGCCGGGGTGACTGCCGAGCAGAAGCATCCCTTCCCTCCACACCCGATCTGGGCATGCACCGGGACCCACCTCATCAGCTGGCCCCTCTGAGCTCGAGGGCTGAGTGTCCGCCGAGCGTGGGTACCCAACGTCCGTCCCGGCAGCGCTGTGGGTGGCGGAGGGGGCCTGGGCCTGGCCTGCCTTCTCTGTGGGCGCCGAGGCTGCGGTGCTGCCACCTCGGGCCACACTGAAGCCTGCGGGAGGGCTGGAGGAGGTGGCCGAGCCCCCCGCGCCCCGTCCCCACAGCCTGTCGGCACTCTGCCTGGTGGGAATCCACAGGTCCACGTCTGGCACGCTGTGCCGTGCTGAGGGCAGCACCTGGCCACCCTCCTGGGCCTCTGCGGCCTCCTCCAGCTCCGGCTCCGGCTCCGGCTCCGAGTCCTCCTTGCTGCTCCCGCTGCTGCTGCTCCCGCTGCTGTCCCCTGCGCTGTCCCCGCTGCCACTGTCCCCGCTGCTGGAGCTCCACCGCACAGTGCGGAGGGGCCGCCGCCGGCCCCGGCCCCGCCTCTGCTGCTTCTGTGGGGAGGGGTTGCTTGGAGGCCTCAGCCGCCCCCAGCGACAGGGACGGCAGGCAGGGCAGCGCGTGTGGTGCTGGGGGCGCGTCCCCTCTGATGGCTCTGTGGAGGCTGGCCGCCCACCAGGCCGGGGCTCTCCCTGCCCTCGGCCTCCCGTAAGAGCCGCCAGGGCCAGAAACCAGACACCCCTCCTCCCGCCTGCAGTGAGGCTGCCCCAGAGGGGGCCTTCTGACCGACTTCTGGTGACGCCTCACCCTGACCATGATTTTCCACTTGCTCAGACACTGGGAGCCTGACCGATGGGGTAGCTCAGACGCTATTTTTGCCCAGTGACCTACAAAAGCAAAACAACATGGCAGTGGCTTCGTACAAACGGTCTGACGTGAGCTTCTCAGCCTGGGGACAAGGCTCTTCCCCAAGACGTGGCTGCGCCGCCCCCCCCCAGAAGACACATAATGTGTCCATCAGAGCACAACCCCCCATGCCCACGCCTGAGCGGCCCCACTACCAGGCGAGAAACGGCCGGCTCGACTAAACTCTGAGGGATTCACTTAAAAAGCTGCCTTTTCTAGAAAAGCAACCTGCACGGCGCTGGCCGCGGGGGCTCCGGGCGATGCAGTCACACCGCCTCCCTTCCTGTCATCCGCCCACACCTCTAAACGTCCTGCCGTGGACGTGAACCCGTGTTCAACGGGGAGACTGCTGCCACCTGCCGAGATGATGGCGGGGAAGGCGCTGGCGACCGAGGCGGCGGCCTGGGAGCGAGGCCGAGCGCCAGGCTGCAGGCGGCTGCGAACGTCCACCGTGAGCACGAAGCCACTGGAGACCCCGGGACGGCGAACGTGCCACGGGCCTTACCGACACCGTGCTTCTCTATCAACTCAGTCAGCTTCTCCTCTTCTTTCGGATTCCAGCGTCCCTTTTTCAAGCTGAAATGTAACCTTCTGAGATACCTGAAAATGACATAAAAACAAAGGGACGTTTCAGACGCTAAGGTGGCCACCTGCTATGGCCCTGGCTCCCACGATGCTTTCTGAAATATGACATCAAACGCACAGGTGACCCAAGAAAAATACACACAGGCTGGATGTCACCAAATTAAAAACTTTCATGCTGCAAAGGTCACCATCCAGGAAGTGAAAAGACCCACAGACCAGGAGAGAACGTGTGCAAACTGTCCGTCCGAGAAGGGACTTCACAAAGGGCTGTCCGAGTCAGTGACGGGAAACAAGTAAACGGATTTCAAAAACGGGCAAAAGACGTTTCTCCAGAGAAGACGTGCGAACGACTAGGATGAGATGCCATCTCGCACCCAGCAGGACAGCTACCATCAAACCGGTCACGGTGAGTGGGGCGAGGACCCGGCGGGCTGGAGCCAGGTGTGGCCACTGCTCTGGAGAAACCCGGCGGCTCCTCAACCGTCCGAACAGAGCTACCACGTGACCAACGAGCCCACTCCCAGGTGCGTATGAGACGAGGGCGTCTGTGCACACGACCCGCACACAACGAGGGCGTCTGTGCACACGACCCGCACACGAGGGTGTCTGTGAACACGACCCGCACACGCGCCTGTCTACCACGCTCGTCCCCGCTGCAGCAAACATCAGGGTTCCATTCCTTCTTAGGCCGAGTACTGTCCTGCTGTCCACTTGCTTTACGCCCCATGTTCCTCGTCCGGCGGTGGACACGCAGGTGGCCCCCACCTCTTGCCTGCCGTGCCCAGCGCTGCTAGGAGCATGGGTGTGCAGACGGACGCCTGAGCCCGTTCTGAGTCTCTTGGCTGTGCAGTGGGGCCGCTGGGCCACACGCGGTTTTGTTTAACTCCGAGGACACGCCACGCTGCCGTCTGCAGTGGCTGCGACCCCACCGTCAGCACTAGGGGGCCGATTTCTCCACATCCTCGCCAACAGGTGCTATTTCCCACTTTTAAAAACGATAAGCGTCCTCGTGTGTGCATAGGTAACTTACTATGCTCTGATTTGCACTTCCATGACGACTAGCGACGTCGGTATCTTTCCCAGTGTTTAATGGCTATTTGCACGTCTTTGGAGAAATGCCTATTCAGGTCCTTTGCCCATTTTTGAATCGTTTGCTTTTTTGTCTGGGGAATAAAGTTTCTTTGAGGGGTGATCAAAGTACTCCAAAAACGAATGTGGTGATGGCTGCACAGCTCAATGAATACACCGAAAACCGCAGAACTGCACACTTTAAAAGGGTGAGATGTGTGGTATATAAATTGCATCTTAATAAGACTGTTTTAAAAAATGAAGCAGCCGGGAAGAGAGCTGGAGTACCTGCCGGGAACCCTGCCCGCAACGACCAAGGAGAGGGATTCAGATGGCGGGGAACCTGCCCACCAGGGCCCACCCAAGCTGAGGCCGCAGAAAAGCCTGATTTGTTATTATTATTTTATTTATTTATTTTACACCTACGGCACCTGGTCTTCCTAGGTGGTCTCCCTTCCAAGTAATAACCAGGCCTGACCCTGCTTAGCTCCTGAGATCAGATGGGATCGGGCTTGTTCAGGGTGGCATGGCCGTAGACAAGGCCTGCTTTAAAAGAAATAGCCCCTCTCCTTCCTAGCCGGCCCCCCCGGCAACCCCCCCCCGAAGCTGCCTCCTGCGCCAGATCACCCCAGCCCCGGCCTCCTAGCCCAGTCAGGCTCCCGCCCAGCACGTCCGACTCACCGATCTCGGCACTGGGCATCGCTCCTACCTGGCACCTCCGCCCGGATTTTAAACCAGTCCTGCTCCCCGTACTTGGCGACCGCTCGAAGCAGCTTCTGCAGGAAGGGACAGAGGAACAGTGAACCCCGTGCATAGGCACGGCCTCGCACCCCGACTCGGCTCGTCTAATGAGGGGTCGTCAGGGGCTCAGTGACCACTCAAGTGTCCGGGGCCCCTAAGGGGACGGTTCTCCGCGGCCCCCCACACCTACCGCGTCTTCCTCTGGGGCCCAGAAGCCCTTTTTCAGGCTGGGATCCAAACTCTTGGTCCACCGGTAAATGAGCTGCATGGAGTCTCTGCCTTCCATGTAGTAGACGACTGGGGGCAGAGAGGCCTCGTGAACCCCGAAAGGAGCCGCTTGGCAACTGAAGACGGAGCCAGGGACGCCCCGACTTCTTCCAGCCTCTCAGGAACCACCCCCATCCGCGAGTCCCACCGTGGGGGCGGGGACAGTCTTGCGGCCGCGGGCGCCGCCTTACTTTTCCGGTAGGGGATGTGGCTGCCCACGCGCATCTCCTGGACCAGCTGGGTGAGCATGCGGTCCTCCTGCTCCGTCCACTCCTTGCGCCTCGAGGCTTTGCTGTGCTGCTGGAGCTTCTGCAGGCACTGGAAGGCGCTGCGGCCGGTCTTCCCACACCAAAGCAAGAGCGTCACGGGCGCTAGCCGTGAGGAGGGGCGCCCCGGGCACAGCTGCACCTCGCGCGAAATGCCCTTCCGAGAACCACGGACCTGCTTCCCCCTACCAGACCCCGTGGGCACAGCGCGGAGCATCCCCGGAATAGGAGGAGGTAGATTTGGAAAAACCGACAACAACACTTTGGTTTACGTGGCACCAAAACTGAACTGCAAGCTCAGATCTCGCTGGAAACCGCCAGCTCCGCGATGCCTGAGGGAGGGGCCGCCTGGCACGGCCGCTCCCCCTCGAGCGCACGGGGGTCTCCCTGAAGCCCGCCTCAGGGGCGGCCAAGGGGTGCCCGTGTGCAGGGACATGTGCAATCTGCTGGCCTGTAACGGCGACACCTTCTTAGGTACGACGCCAAGATCACAAACCACGAGAAAAAGAACTGCTGAGCTGGACTTCGCTAACGTTAGAAACGTCTGCTCTGGGAAAGACCACGTTGACAGACCGGAGACAGGCCGCAGACGCCGAGGGAGGACGTGAGCAAGGCACATGTGACGAAGGACTGTCACCGAAAGACAGGAAGACCTCCCTCAGCTCAACCGTGAGAAACCGCCGGGCTTAGACATGGACCAAGGACCTCCGCAGACACCTCATCACAGAAGACGTGCGGATGGCAGGTGCGCACGTGAACAGCGCCAGGTCAGGTCACCAGAGAAACGCAAATTACGAGACACCACTGCACCCCTAACAGCACGGCCGGAACCTGCGGCATGACGCCCCCCAGCGCCGGGAGGACGTGGAGCCACAGGCGGGCACATCCGCTGCGGGGGGGACGCAAACGGCACAGCCACCTTGGAGGACGTCTGACCGTTCCCACGGGACTAAACACGCTTCACACGACCCAGCAGTCGCGCTCCTTGGCGTTCGCCCGACAGAGCCAGAAGCCTCCGCCACGTGAACTCCTGCACGCAGCAGTTACGCAGCCCTGACCGTCCCTGACGGAGCTCGGAGCGGCCCAGCCGACCCTCCGCAGGTGACGGGTCAGTACGCCGGGGCACGTCCAGATGGTGGGATGTGACTCAGCTAAAAGGGCAGGACTGCCACACCTGAGACACGTGGAGGAACCCTGCGCACGCGTGACTGAGAAGCCCATCTGAGAAGGCAGCAGATCTGCGGTTGCAATGCTGACACCCTGGAAAAGGCACAGCTACGTGACAGTGATGAGACCGGCGGTGACCGGGGGGCACGGAAGGTTTTTAGGGCAGAGAAACTGCTCTGTGTGAGGCCGTCATGGTGGATACGTGTCATTGTGCATTTGCACAAACCCACGGAATGCACATCACCGATGGTGAACTGCTGATCATGAACCTGGGGTGACAAATCAGTGCAGGTCCATGCACTGCCTGGCAAGCGATGCTGATCACGGGGGGACTGTGTGTGTGTGTGTGGGGGGTGGCAAAGGGCATATGGAAATCCCTGTACCTTCCTCTCAGCTTTGCTGGGAATCTAAAATTGCTTTAAAAAAAGAAGTCTTTAAAAATAAAACTAAGAAAACTTTCTTACAGTATAATTTACCAAGTAGATAAAAACATACAGCTCGGCACACTAAACTACACAGCCAGTAAACACACGAAGCAAGACTCTGGCAGATTCAGGAGGAAAAGCCTTTTCGACAGTTAGGTGGGATCTTAACCCAGCAGCCAGCAAACTGCTCAACGGGCTCCAGACGCCCAGCCCCTCACAGGAGAGAACACACTTCCGCTTTCAAACGGCTTTGGGACACTCACTTTGGTTTGCTTCGGTCACATGCTTGGCCATAAAAGCAATAAACCAAAAAATGGAGATTTTATAGATCACCTTCTCAGGTCACAAACTAATAAAATTCAAACTAAAAAACGACAAAAGGATTCTAAGACACGTAACCACCTGGAAACGGGAAACGTACTCGTACGTAAATTGAGACCCAAAGAGATGGCTTAACCTGAAATCACAACTATCTGGAAACTTCTGGAAGCGATTCATGCCCCGCTGAGGTCAGAGAAGCGACCTTCAGCGTCTTCGCCACTGAAGAGAGACCGCGAGGAACCCAGTCCCCGCCTCGGGAAAACGAAGAGAAGCTGAGAAACAGAACCGAGCAAAACTCCTCTGAGCCGGTGGGGCAGGGAGAACGGCGGGGGGCGGGGGGGACGCCGCCCACGGGACCAGGACCGAGCGCCGGGCACCAGGTCTTGGGGACGCGTGTGGAAGGCAAAGGAACTCTCAGAGAGGCGATGAGGTCTCAGGAGCTCGACGTTTCCGGAGACGCAGCCCAGGGAGGTGTGGATGGGTCACCACCCCGAGAGGCACACCCTCAAAGTGACGGCCCCGGCTGTGCTGTGACACAGCCCGTGAAGGCCCCAAACCTGGGGCCCCGAACCGACACCGGCCTCAGGGTCTCGGCGGGCCCACTCCTTACCCCTAGCTCCTCGGCGATCTTCTGCCACTCCAGGTGGCCGTGCTGGGCCGCGATGGCCTTCAGCTGGCCCACCTCCTGCCGGCTCCACTCCTGCTTGTTGATGCTCGGGTGTTCCCAGTTCTGCCAGAACCTCTGGATCTCCCCCGCACTGCGGCTGCCTTCAAACTGTGCAGAGACCCAGCCTGGGGGTGCCGTCGCCATCTGGTGGCCAGTAGCTGGGCACACAGCGAGGGGAACCTCCGTCCAGGGGGCCCGCACTGGCGCAGCCAAAATGGAGGTCTGGTTCCACAGGCGGAGCCCAAAGCCTTCGCGCCACTGCTCCCCGAGGCGCCAAAATGGGGGGCCCCCGGAAGCCCCCCACGCTGCTGACCGCAGAGGTGTGGCCTGAGCCCGAGGCCGACCCGCCGCCTGCAACCCGCGTCCCGCCGACTCACGCTCACGTTGGAGATCTTCTCCCAGTCGTGGGCGTCCAGCCGGCTCCCCAGCAAGGCCTCCTCCGGGAGCTGGCTGCAGGAGGGGACGAGGCGCCGGGTCAGGCCATCCTCCCCCAGCTGTCCCTGGCCCACGCCCCGCGCCGACCCTGCTCACTTGATCTCCTGGATCTCCTTCTCGGCCTCCCTGCTCTGCTTCTCCAGGACCTGCCTCTCCGCCTCGCTCGTCACCCTGCTCTGCTTCTGCTGCAGGTACTCCAGCCTGCAGGGCGGGGCAGAGGCCCAGGGTCACTGACGGTGACACGCACGCGCTGCGGGGGTCTCTGGGGCTGGCTCTGCCTTCTCGCCGGGCTGGTGGCCCCACGCAATGCAGCAAGGCTGCGGGGAGCACGGCCTCAGGGCCTCGCGAGTGGCCTTGGGGGGCTGGCTCGCTCAGAGATAGTGGTGGTCCCCTCCAGCTGTCGCTATGGCCACGGTGGTGGCTAGCACGGCCACGTGTCTGCTGCCGCAGGTGGCAGTAACTACTGGCTGTCCCCATGTCTCAGAGCTCAGTGTCCCAGGTCCCAGCCCAGTGCTCACAGACAACCTGGCCCTTGCGCCCAGGAACGAGGCCAGACCACAAGCTCCGAGGCCCGCGATGATACTCCAGGGCTACAGCCCCTCCTGAGACCAGCCAGGGAGAAGACCCGCCTCTCCCACAGCAAACTCTGGTGGCAAGGGGAGGTGTGAGGCCGCCCTGGGACCCCAGCTGGCCACAGGTGCTGTGACTGGTTCACACGACACCTCCCCACATGCAGACACACGAAATAGGTTTCCTGAAGGGGCCATTTCCACAGGTGTAGAGCAAGACCTCGACCAGACAAAGTGCCCAGGCGACAACTAAACGTGGCTGCTTGGCCCAACCCAGCCCTCACACGCGCGGCCTCGACACTCGGTTGCCCCCTGGGAGGAGGTTCAGGGGTCGGCGCCTCTCCCTAGCGGGAAGGGGGCAGCTGGACCAAGCCCTGCCAGCCCGAAGCTGCCAGTTGGGCAGTGGGCGGCTGCCGGCAGGCGACTCACTTGAGCAACTTGGGCTGGAGCAGACGCTGCAGGCGGTCGCTGACCACGGACTTCCTGAGCAAGGCTTTCTCCCAGTGCTTCCCTGGGGACAGATGTGCCCGCGGCTCACACCAGCGCCTCCCCATGATGCTCGTCTTCTCGTCAGACCCCCCCAACGCGCTCGCACGGCGCTGGCTCTGACTTCCACGGCAAGACAGAAGGAATGGACGGCAGGCCAGCCCTCTAGACCCACTGCTGGTGTCCCGGGCAGTGGGCCTGGCGGGGAGCTGGCAGGGGCTCCTGGCCACCATCCAGCGAGCATGGCTCCACCTGGGCCTGGCACAGGCTCGCCGGGGCCTCCGGAGCTGCGCATCCAGGGGTGGAACTGGCGAGCAAGCCCCGGGG